GGGGGCACGGTGCCCCGGTGCCCTCCCCGTTCCGCCGCCTATGGCTCCGGCTCCGGGCTATATTGTTTCACGGCTTCGGCTCCGGCTCCGGGCAATATATGCCGGCTCCAGCGGCTCCGGCTCCGGCTCCGCAACCCGGCCGTGCCTCAAAGCGAAAGTCTGGATCCATCCTGGTGCCCTGGCTAATCCCTAACTAGAAAGTAGAATAAGCGCGCACAGATGTCGCAGTTTATATGATATGCATAGATGTCGCACTGTCGCAGCTATAGCGACAAATGCAGTGCAAATGGCAGCAGACAGCAGTAGTTTCCCCTACCAAAGTGGTGGTTTTCTACCACAGATGCTCGTCGAGGTCGGAATTTCCAAATACGCTGCTGAATCTGTGCCAACTTCCGTTACATTCAGCGCATTCAGCGTCGAGTGCTCCCGAAAGCTGATTGGTCGATTTCCGCTAGCTGATAAAAACGATACCTATAAGAAACATGAATACTGCTTGTGGAACAGGATATCGTCGACAATCCTCCGCAACTGTCTGCCAATTTTGTACATTGACCTCTATAGTAACCTAGACGGGCGACTGCCGCGCCGCGGCCGGCACGGAATCGTTCCCGCATGGGGGCGCAGTGGCGCCACCTGCAAGTGGTCAGAAGTTCCCGGTCCCGGTAGACGGTCCATGTTAAGTGGGTAACTTTTTAACCCTCGCCCTGGCAGGGCATTTTTCATAACACGGCCTGGCAGGGGGGGGGTCGATGCGACCCCCCCCCCTCGCGATTGGCTCCTATGGCACCTAGAAACACCAAATTTGGTAGGTAGGTGGGCCCCCTGGAGTTCTCGCCCCTGTGCAAATTTGGTTGCTCTAGGTCACTATTTAGGGGGGTTTTGGGGGGTATAAATGTAAAAATTTCGCTAAAAACAGGTCAAAAGTTTTTCGCTTATAACTTTTGATCTAATTAAGATAGAACAAAAAGAAAAGCACCAGTGAACTCAGCACGTCAAGGCGCGTCGAATGATATACTTTTTAGCTTGCTTAAGTGTACTTTAAGTTTTTCTTAAATTTTAAGTAAACTTAAATTAATAAATTAAGTTAAAGTTGACCAAATTGCATCATATTGCATATCATTCGATTCGGCTGATCACCAGGAACACAATGATACCGTTTTTGAAGCTCTAGCGTCATTATATGCCAAGTTATTGGCAAAAACGTCATTTGACCTCAGTTGACCTCATTTGACCTGACCCATGGATAAGTACACCAAACAAAGAAGCACCAAGTGACCTGCTGTTAAGTACTGTGGTTTCAAAGCACAAAAGTGATAAAACGAAGCGGATATCTCCAGTATTTTCCGAATTTAGTATTTTCCCATAGGCTTAACATTACGACGTCATGACCTCTAACTGACCTCAGGTCAGTGACCTCAAAAAACCCGAACTATATGTTATACAACTCGGTGAACTTAGCACATCCTGCAAGTTTGAAGGAAATCAGTGCAAAACTGTGAGTTGGACAGGTGCAAAAAGAAAATTGAAATTTGACCATGACCTTGTACCGGTTTTTCTGACCTGGTGACCTGACCTAAGGTCACCCGGACCTGAAATTTTCAGGTCATATGTAAAAAGGTTGCCCCATAGGCTGTGCCAAATTTGGCGGCGCTGCGCGCCGCCGTTTTTACGCTATCTTCGAAAAACCTTAGGGGGGGGGTCGCATCGACCCCCCCCCTGCCAGGGCGAGGGTTAAGTTGATTTTTATGAAAAATACAGCCTGCGGATGGCTGAAAAGGATTGTCATGTAACTGAACATGCTTTCTTAAGATGTGATGTGTTCGATTTCCAACAGGATGGCTCGAGCCATGCAATAAAGTGCATTATTTCAAATGACCCGGACGCTGGCATGGTGCAAAGCATATCGAAACGTGGAGAGGCTCCCTGCCGTAGTTAAGGCCATGCGGGACCAGGAACGTACCCGCTTCCTACTCAAGTGGCAAAAGATGATCAATTAGCAACCGAAAGGGGGTTGGGTCGAACGGACTCCCCCCCCGGCCCCCACCTCCTCAGCTTTTCGCAAATAACTCGCGTAAAAAGCGACCGATCAATCGCGACGAAACTTTCAGTAACCTCGCGTAAATCAGTTTTACACCTACCCTAAAAATGTCATGACCCTGAGTCCCTGACCCAAATGACCTTTTGACCTGTGATCTACTTTTCGAGACCATATGTTGGGCCGGAATCGCGATTTGGCACATGTCGGCTCGCATTAGCCGCGCGTTTGCAGTCTTTTCGTGGTTTCAAGCGCTCAAACACGTGGTAAAATGCTGCTCCCGTGCATTAGGGTGGGTGTCAAGGTCACCTGAAGGTCAGGTCAGGTCATTGACCTTTGATGACCTCGGTTCACTTTTTCGAGTTTTACATGTTTGTAGGCTAGTTTTGGAGCTGATTTTCGAATTTAACAATTATTTTAACGTTTACGAAGTAGTTTTGGTGCCTTCGTGTCATGTTACGAAGCTGTCAGAGGCGGTTGACACCTACTGGGGTCTGGGAATACCCGGCAGGACCCCTACCTACTGGTTGACCTGGCCTGACCCAACCTGGCCTAAATGCATCCAGACATCATCTGTGATAAAAATGAACATGATATTCGTGATCAGCACCCCGAAAACCTCATATCAGCAACACTTAACGACGTTCTAACAGGTCCCGATTTTCCCGACGCTTGGGTCATTGACCTGCCCGGCTGGAAGGTCAACCAATGACTTAGGACCTTAAAATTGCGTATCATCGGTTTCCTCTCGTCTACTTGCAATTCCATCCCTGATAGTCTGCCAGTCCTTAACCCTCGCCCGTATTGGTGTTTTTCCAGCCGCGAACGTATAAGGGGGGGGGGGGGGGGGGTCCGTTGGACCCCCCCCCCTTACCGTTTCGCCCCTGATCGAGCTAGAGCTTCGCGGGAAAAACGAGCGTGTTGCCCGTGACGAGAGGAAGCCGATGATACCCAATTTTAAGGTCCTAGGTCATTGGTTGACCTTGCAGGTCAGGTCAATGACCCCAAAGGCGGGAAAATCGGGCCCTGTTAGAACGTCGTAAAGTGTGGCTGCTATGAGGTTTTTCGGGGTGCTGATCACGAATATCATGTTAGTTTTGATCACAGATGATGTCTTCATGTATTTAGGCCAGGTCGGGTCAGGTCAGGTCAGGTCAACCAGTAAGGGTATTCGTAGTAGGTGGCAACCGCCTCTGACAGCTTCGTAACATGTTACGAAGGCACTAAAACTACTTCGTAAATGTTCATATGGTCGCTAAATTCGAATTCAGCTCCAAAAACTGGCCTAGAAACATGTAAAACTCGAAAAAGTGAACCGAGGTCATCAAAGGTCAATGACCTGACCTGACCTTCAGGTGACCTTGACACCCACCCTAATGCATGGGAGCAACATCATATCACATGTTTGAACGCTTGAAACCACGAAAAGACTGCAAACGCGCGGCTAATGCGAGCCGACATACGCCGAATTGCGATTCCAGCCAAACATGGTCTCGAATAGTAGGTCACAGGTCAAAGGTCATTTGGGTCAGGGTCATGAAATTTTCAGGGTAGGTGTGAAATTGATGAACGCGAGGGTACTGAAAGTTTCGTCGCGATCGGCCGCTTTTTACGCGAGTTATTCGCGAAAAACCATGGGGGGGTCCGTTCGACCCCCCCCCCCTATACGGGCGAGGGTTAAATAGATCACCATCGATCTGGAATGATCATCTTTTCGCTTTTGCCACCTGAGTAGAAAGAGCAAGTACGTTCCTGGTACACTGCATGGCCTTACCTACGGCAGGAAGCCTCTCTACGCTTCTCGATACGCTATGCACTGCCAGAGTCCGGGTCATCTGAAATAATGCACTTGATTACATGGCTCGAGCCATCCTGTTGGTAATCGAAGACACCCACGCCTTAAGAAAGCATGTTCAGTTATAAAACAATCCCTTTCAGCCATCCGCATGCTGTATCTGGCATAAAAATCGACTTCAAAAGTTACCCACGTAACATGGACCGTCTACGGGGACCGGGAACTTCTGACCACTTGCAGGTGGCGCCACTGCGCCCCCATGCGGGAACAACTGCGGCGCGGCAGTCGTCCGTCTAGGTTACTATAGAGGTCAATGATTTTGTAATGCTAGCCAAGTGCTAGCGAGAGCTATACTCAAGGCCCTAAATACAAGGTTGCACGGACTTATTTCTACTAAACCTACCAGAATATAGTTTCACGGTTGATAATTTAAATAATTATTCAATCAAAATTTCTTTATTATTATCTCGTAATCATTTATAAGCAATTTCATAAATCAACTTTCAATTTGCTTGCCTTTTACTAGCAAAATAACTTTTCTAGTATTGGGTCAACATAGTGGTGTAGCAGTAGGAACCACATCTGGCAAAACCCCAATGCCTACATACAGCAGAAAAGCAGCCACCAGGTGTCGCCACAGTCGCCACTTGGTCGCCACACAGATGTCGCGCGCGTCGCCAACCGCCACACTACCGATATCCATAAGGACGCATATGTACGGATATGTATAGGAAAGTCGCCCTTAAGGATTACGCTTACATCCTTTGCTTATGAGGTCGGTGGTTGGAAATTGGGAGGGGCTCAGCTATTTTCGACCACGGATATGCCTTTATCACATGATGAGGAACATGCTGATAAGCGTTTTATGTGTCATAACAGCACAAAAGTATTTTTAATCATTTTTCAAAAATAGCCGTTCCGCCGTATCCTTCCGTGCAAAGTGCCGTCGGTCATCCCCGACGTGACGTCACGTAGGGAATTTGCCAGATTTTCCTACTAGACTTCGACACCCCCTGGCTATACTGCCGATACTGCCTTGATGTTGTGTGCTAGCTTCACTGAACTCTAGCTAGCTTATACTGATACGGCCAGATACGGCTTGCTGGTTGAGGGGGCTGAGGCAAGGCCCTATATACCTAACCCAAGGAGGGCGCTAACCCAAGGTGAGTAAATATCTGAGTTATTCGAATTATTCATTGGATTATCGGAGGGCTCCATTTTGTTTCTGTAACGCAGGGCCATATATACCTGGAACCATGGCCGTATATCAGGGCCTCGGCTAACATGTTAACTACTGGGGCAAATGCCCCAGTAGAGTCAAGAAATGCCCCAGTAGTGGTCAGGTTTTGCCCAACCTCCACAAAATAAGAATATCTCAATATTAACGTAAGTACGCACATTTTTTCACTCGGTAGCGGTTGAAGACCTTTGTGGCAAGAAACCAGGGGCGGCAGAAGGGGGGTGCATGGTGTGCAGCTGCACCCTCAAATTCCAACCAAAAACATAGACGTGCATTTACAAACATATCTTTTGGACCCCCCATAACCCTCGCTCGTATGGGGGGGGGTGACCTTTAACCTGTGACCTACTTTTTGAGATCATGTTTGCCCGGAATCGCGATTCGGCGTATGTCGGCTCGCATTAGCTGCGCGTTGGCAGTCTTTTCGTGGTTTCAAGCGTTCAAACATGGGATTTGATCTTGCTCCCATGCCTTAGGGTGGATGTTAAGGTCACCGGAAGGTCAGGTCAGGTCATTGTCCTTTGATGACCTCGTTCACTTTTTCGAGTTTTACATGTTTCTGGGCTAGTTTGTGGAGCTGAATTCGATTTTAGCAACCATTTGAACATTTACGATGTAGTTTTGGTGCCTTCGTAACATGTTACGAAACTGTCAGAGGCGGTTGCCACCTACTACGAACACCCGGCAAAACCCTTTCTGGTTGACCTGACCTGACCCGACCTGGTCTAAATGCATGAAGACACCATCTGTGATCATAAATAACATTATATTCGTGATCAGCACCCCGAAAAACATAGCAGCCACCCTTTACGACGTTCTAACAGGTCCCGATTTTCCTGACCTTTGGGTCATTGACCTGACCTGGAAGGTCAACGGATGGCCTAGGACCTTAAAATTGGGTATCATCGGCTTCCTCTCGTCACGCGTAACACGTTTGTTGTTCCCGCAAAGCTCTAGGTCGATTAGGGGCGAAACGGCAGGGGGGGGGGTCCAACGGACCCCCCCTTTACGTTCGCGGCTGGAAAAACACCAATACGGGCGAGGGATAATCCATAAGCTGCCCTTTGTTCGAAAGAGCGTAAAAAATAATGACGAAAAAACTCCGGTCACTTTTTGGTCAGGTCAAAGGTCAGGTCATTAGGTTCATTGAAGGCCAAATTTCGCCAATTTTCAGGTCGAATATCGACAATTTGCAAGATGCCGACGCATAACTCGGGAACCAATAGAGCTACAGCGCCGCGGAAAAGCGCATTTGGTAGCCATATTAGCGTTCTTTCTGGATATTTCCCTCAGATTTCACCTAACGTCAACGGTTTTGCTTGCAGGGGGCAAAAACTGCCAAAATAGACGGTTTTTCGAGAAGTTTTTCTGCAATAACTTTTGACTCAAGCCTTGCCAGCACGAGCTATCTTTTACCGACATCGTGTTCCTCTTGTCAAGACGCATCGAATGAAGTATAATATTACCTTGAAAGGTCAACTTGAAAATTTGAACTCTGGTCAAGGTCATGTTCTGACCGGAAATTGTCATTTTGCATCTCAGTGGATCCGTATCGTCGAGCTGGAAACATATAAGGCGTTTTCATCGCTCTAGCATGCCTCTTTCAAAAGATATTCGCGAAAAACTGTTAGATACCATAGGTGACCTGAGATGACCTCAGGGGCATAAACAGAGGCCACTGGTGCCATTTTCGTGTTCAGTGTGTCAAAGTTACTTGTAATTTAGTGTTTAAGAGTGTTTGTAATGACTTTCGTCCAAAAGAGGCGGCTTTGAATTTTCTCCCATTGACTTATAATAGGGAGGTCGCAAAATTGACCTGACCTTAGGTTACTGATATTAAAATTCCGAGATGTTTGTACAAACTGTTGCCCTTATTAATCGCTGAAAGTTTCAAAGCGATCAGTCACTCGGTGTGCCTATAGCATACATTAAAACATTTTATGAAGTGAGGTCACTTGAAGTGACCTGGTGACCTGACCTTGAATGACCTTGGTCTGAAATTTTCACATGTGTAGCATTGATGTATGATATTGATAAGGTGTGCCAAAAACGGCGACGGCCTTTTTTAGATATTCGCGAAAAACCGGAGGGGGGTGTTCAATCCCCCCCCCCCCCACACCGCAGCAGGGCGCACTTTGACCATTTGCCCCAGTAGTCGAAATTCCTTAGCCGAGGCCCTGCCGTATATAGGCCTGGAATCCTGGAACATCTCTGGCAACTTTGGTTGAGTTTACAGGTATTTCTTTTTGAAAATGTATCTGTCGTAGGCATCGGGTGAAATCCGGCATTTAATGAAATGCCTAGGCATTACGTGGAATGCCGGCAAAGACTGAAATCTTCGTAGAAATACGCGCGTTACGGTGAATGCCTGAAAATTTTAGGCATGTCATGGAGTGCCACCTGGCAAGGCCTGGCAGTCGCTGAAATATGATCGAAATAAGCCGAGTACAATCATTGCCTGGTCATTACATGAAATGCCCAAGTGACGACCGGCACTTTCTGGAACGGTTACCGCAGATGTGCGAACTGTTTGGTGCTGGCTAGGTACCAAACCTAACAAACACCTCCTAACCCCACCCAACTCTAATCTAGCCCAACTTTGAGACCAGTTTTGGGCCTAAAATGTGCATTTTGCTGTTGTGATCTGTATTTTCTATGCCAATGGTTAAATAAAGCATTGAAGCATTATACCTAGTAGACACTTTGGTCACAGTTAAAATAATCATGTTGATGTGACAGCTTTTTTTGTCATTGGCATGAAGTATAAATTCGCCAGTATCTCCAGCAATAATAATGGTAAAGATGAGAAAGACCCAGATAAAGAAAGAAACAGCAAAGGCTTAGATACTGAGGATGGGGGATGAGCATTGAGCTGCTCTATCTCAGGGTAATTGGAGCATCAATGGGAAGTGAAAAAGACAATTGACTGGGAGGGACATCAGCAGTGTGGCAAGTGGTCCCACAGCCACCAGCAGACAAAGTGTGATGTAGAACAGGTAGCCTGTGGCTTAGGACATCTGTGACTGTTACTTGATCTTGAAGTCAGAGGTTAAAGTAGCAATTTTGCTGCTTGTAGCTCTGTAATGTAAGTTTAGACCCCGAGCGTGCAACTTTATTTTAATACTTCAATGATTCATAGTTTTGCTGTAAAATGTGAGTTTTTGTCCAGCAAAGCCTTTAATTTTATTTAAAACATGTAAGTTTATCACACAAGCCCCTTCTGAGGGCTCTTATGGCAGATATTAGGTGATTTTAATGTAGTGATCATAGTCATCCCAACCTCTGGGTGAGAATGATCAATTTTGTTGTAAAAAATAAAATATTTATGATAAATTTCAAGACATTTACTGTACTCAGATAGAGAATTGTCCAATTGGTATGATGAAACAGTTTCCCAGAATGAAATCTCAAGTGATATAGAAGATATTGTACCATTTTGGTTAAAAATGATACAAAGTCACCCCGGTTTACGGTATGATGTCTGCTCTTTTAATGCCAAAATAACCTAGTCCAAATACTGGTTAACCACTATTGTATTTGGATGTAGTTATTTTTATTTGGTGTGATCATAGGATTTTTCTTGAAATACGTGTGTAACCAATCTTATTATAAAAAAACAACACGTTCCCATTGCCTTCCCCATTTATATCAAATAGGTATATGACAAGCGGCTGCGCCACTTGCTTCGCGGCATAGCCATTAAATGAGGCAGCAGCCAATTTGCTTTCGAATGGTGTTTGATTTGAATTGATGTGTCATCTGGAAGCAGAGATATGGACGGAAACGTGCAGAAGAAAATTTGGAACATAACTATTCTGAGGGCTTAGTTGTATGAAATTTGGGTCATACGGGGTCAAGTCAGGTCAAGGTGGTCATCCCTGGTCACACTGGGTCAGGCCAGGTCGTATAGGTCACCTCGTCTCATTGGATCGGCCTGACCATACTTTTACTACCACTACCCCTACCACTAGTCACTACCCCTACCACTACCCCTACCACTAGTCACTACCCCTACCACTACCCTTACCACTAGTCACTACCCCTACCACTACCCCTACCACTAGTCACTACCTCTACCACTACCCCTACCACTACCCCTACTACTATCCATACCACTACCCCTACCACTACCACTACCACTACCCCTACCACAACCCCCTACTACTACCCCTAACACTACCCCCTATCTATCACGGGGGGAGGTTTGATCACTCGTTGTCATTTTTAGCACATGCCATTTTTGGCAACCATGTGCCAAAAATGACAACGCTATCAGCTATTTTTGGCAACGATGAAGCTGATTTCACTCCTCGGCGAGGAAATCACGATTTTGGAAATACAAGCACTGATTTTGGAAAAGAACTGCTGCCACCTGGTGCAAGAAGAATAAACCAGCTTTAATATGGCCATTGTTTGTATGATAGTTCAACGTTGACATATACCCTTTTTTGTGGCCTGAAGTTGGAACTTCAATATGCAGCATCCGAAAATGATCAGTATTGATCGAAAACATAATTTTGATGAAAAAAGAATATGTTAAGTTGAAAGAGGAGGCGATTTCATCCAGATGCGGTGGTTTACTTCTTGAAATTATTTTTGTTTATGACGACCGCCATGTAATGACGGATGATGCGCGGCCGTCAATTAGCAAAAATTATTTCAAGAAGTAAACCACCGCATCTGGATAAAATCATGATAAAATGACCTCCTCTGTCAACTTAACCCGCGCCGGGCCGGGCGCGGGTTAAGTTGCCCGCGAGGGGTGTTTGAACACCCCTCCCCCTGCGGTTTTTCGCAGATATCTCAAAAACGGCGTCGCGGAGCGCCGCCGCCGTTTTTGGCTCACCTGTTCGTGCATCTTTTCCGCACATGTTGTGAAAATTTCAGACCTAGGTCGCCTTAGGTCAGGTCACCAGGTCACGCCAAGTGATCTCACATCAGAAAAAATAAGAATGCTCGTCATAGCTACACCGATTGATAGATTGCCTTGAAACTTTCAGCGATTGATAAGAGCAACATTATCTATAAAATGTAATATCTCGGAATTTTGATATCGGTGACCTAATGTCAGGTCAATTTTGCGGTTTCTCCGTTATAGGTAAGTCAATGGGAGAAAATTGAAAAGCGTCTGTTTTGCACGAACGCC